TAACTCGAAGAACTGTCGGTCGGAGAGCTATTTTACAACCTGGAAATCGCGAATGGGTGACTACAATTGAAGCAATAAATGCGACCGGGTGGGCCTTGCCGCCGTACGTCATTTTCAAAGGCAAGGTCTTTATGGCGGCATGGTTTAAGGATACGCAATTACCAAGCGATTGGCGATTCGCAGTTAGTGATAACGGGTGGACAAATGATGCTATTGGTCTCGAATGGCTTCAAAAACTATTCATTCCATCGACTACTAGCCAAAAAAGGGGTTGGTATAGGCTTCTCGTCCTCGACGGCCATGGCAGCCACGTTTCAGCGAAATCCGATGCGATATGCTCTCAAAATGACATTATACCAATTTGTATGCCTTCGCATTCGTCTTATCTTTTACAACCTCTCGATATCGGCTGTTTTGGGGTGTTAAAACAGGCATATTCCGACCTCGTGGATTCGCAAGTGAAGCTCGGCATAAGTCGAATCGATAAAAACGACTTCCTTACAGCCTATTCTCGGGCTAGAAAGGCAGCATTTAAGACACAAACCATTGTGAATAGCTTCGCAGCTGCTGGTTTAGTGCCTTTCGACCCAATACGTGTGGTTTCGAAGCTTGATGTCCAAATTTATACACCCCCACCAGCTCCGAGCCGTAGCAGCGATTCGAGCCTCAATTTCACGCTAAAGACGCCGCGTACGGTGAAGGACGTTCGCCGGCAGGCTTCTTCTATTAAGAAATTGCAACAAGAGAATCCATTACGCGCGGATGAAGCGTTTAATCAGATCGTGAAAGGCGCCCATTTAGCTATACATGGCGCGGCCATTTTACGGCAGGAAAACCAGGAATTACGCGCTAGCAATGCGAGGACCACCCAAAAAAGGAAGCGTACTAGGAAGCGAATAGCTCATGAAGGTGGCATGTCAGTTTTGGATGCTATGGAGGTGGTATCAGGTCTAGGAATAGCTGATAACGTAGGCTCAGGTGGTGATGGGGGTTCATCGCCGACGCCGAATCAGGCCAATGAGAGGAGGCCACAGCGATGCAGTCTTTGTAAAACGCCTGGACATAAGAGAAATAGGTGCCCAGGGAGGTCTGAATAGCTTCATTTTTAATTATATGGCGTTGTGGTGTAAACTTTTGCAATTTAATGGTAGCATTTTTGGTTGGGTGGCCAGCTCGCTTGTGAAATACGTTAGTTAAGGGAAAACCCTAGCCTGCAGTCTGGCAGACTGCAGGCACCCCCGTGGGATAGGGTGTTCGAATGCCGAGAGACAGACACTGATATACACTCCATTGGGTCTTGCATCAGGTAGGCATACCAACGCATGATCGATGAACTAAATCCACTGGAAGAAAGTCGAGGTAGCGATCATCGATGCCACCAGTAGTCATGTGGAAGAAACAGAGTATGCGATGGTGTTGGTGCAGGGGAGGTCGAGCAGACAAGACATTTGCTCGCTTCGCAATTTGAGGGTGTCTCCTGTTGTGAGATCCGAGTCAGCATGTGTTGATCCAGTTCCACGAGATGTCGTGCTTTACGTTGTTCATGAAGAATTCCCCGAGTGTACGCTTGAAGCAGATGATAAACAAGAATCGTGATCATACCAGCTTACCAACTAGATCACTGCCAATTCTCTTCTGCAATGCAGTCACCAATATGCCATGTTGTATCCAGGTTCGTCGCACTCTCCGGCTGTCGCTTCGAGAAGCCGCGCTGGATGAACCGACAAAGTTCACAAGACGGCAAAGGCGCATGACGAACCCACGCGTGACAAGAAATTGTACAGTTGTACAGGGAGACCGCTTCGTGCAGAGAGCGAGAGATTGAGGCACTCCGTCGTTCAGTGTGTGAAGGCGGTGAGGAGGAAAAAGACGCGATGGCGCGTCGGCCCCTTGGTCTTATCTGAGTCGGCGGAAATAGGTAACTCGCCACAAGAGTTTTCGCGCTTGGCGATGGGTTGCTCCTACAACAGCATAGATATGTCAGTGGTGTTTGTGTCTGGGGCACAGACTGGCAGAAAATCAAGAGCAACGCAGCACGAGGCACGATATTCCACTCACCTCATCGTGGATAACGAACGTCTGGAGCTGATGTATCCTGTTGTCCCGCGAACTTGGTTTGCGGTATTTTCTACTTGCGGTATTTTTCGTAGAAAATATCGCATGGTTTGAAGTGACAGGGCCAGAAAGGTGTATAAGCCATGATCCTGTGCGGAGCACTGACGGAATGCTGGTTCGGACTCACTCTGGTGCGCTGTCAACAGTTTCCTGTCCATCATTAGCTTGTTGGTCGGCGGGACAAAGCATGACTTACATGTTTTAAAAAAAGACACAGGAAAGGGCTCCGTGGCTGGAGTATATTGGACGGAACGCAAGGATCTTTCTTTCGCGTCGTCTTTGAAGTCAGTCCAGTTTCGGAAAGGGTCGCGCTGAAATCTACATATCTGTATGGAGATCGCTCCTTTGCACCGATATTCGTAGGCGGAACAGTGGTCGGCTGCTTTGGTGGACAGATATTCGCATAGATACATCGACCATCTAACATAAAACTGCTTGTTGATCGGCTGGCATGGGTGGCATAGTGGTCCTGGTGGGAACCTCATTCTCACATGCACTTTCTAGCTTGTCAGTCCGCAACGTAATTACGGTATAGATGTCAATACCGTGGAAATCCAGTAGGTCAAAGGGAAGAACTTATCAGGTGCCTCGAACCGAAGGCCTGCTCGACTTTGCGGAGCAAGTGACATGTGTTGTGGAACAAATTGCTGGGGGAGAGGGCGAATTTATAGGCTTCTCGGCTCCTGTCGCGTACATGCTCTATTAGGGAGCAACGTTGAAGGACACAATGCCATCCTAAGTGAGGCCTGTTGTAACATATACCGCAACTATTTGCAGCGAATTTCTTGGTGTGATTTTAGATGCTCACCGAGAAAACATGCTAGAGTCAAGTAGAGAATGAGTCAAAGTGAGTCGGTTAAGAAACGTTGGCTCACTGTTGATTCTACGGTCTTAATACTGAGGCAATGGGAAGCTGTGCATTCTTTGATTTTACCGAGAGCGCTCACATTTTCATCTAAGGAAGATGAAAATTTTCTGGCCTCGTTCGAGTGTTGATTGTCTGAGCTGTGTGTGGTTCTGTCCGTCTAGGCTGCGGAAAGCGTCAGGCCGCGGTCGCGCGGGCGCGGGTACTCAACCCGTCAACCCGTTGAAGCTTGGCCGTCCTTGTTGATGGGAGTCAACTTTTGAACTCGTGATCATGGTTAAGATAGATACCTTGTTTTTTCGATTTTCTTTTTCGGTCCTCTAGATTGTACTTTATTTACTTTTTGGAATTTCTGAGCTCTCAAACCAATGTGGAAAATGCGTTGTGATTGAATATATAATCTCCCGGACCGTTCATCACCAGAAGCCACTAATATGAGGCACATTCACCAACCATCAACACCGCGAGATTGATCATCAACACCACCATTGAATGAGCTGCTAACAGAGCACTGAAATTCAAAAGCCGACTGTGTGATTGATTTTCACTATGACAGTGAGACTGAGCATACTGTAATGGAATGAAGATGTGTCTCCCATGGAAAGGCCTTCTTTACCCGGGCCCTGCCACCGGTTTGAAGGCTTTCTATCCCGTCTACTCTTCGCATTGTTGTACCTATATGTTGCCATAAATTACTCATTCCATAAATTTCTCTGTGACAACTTATTTTGTCGACATGGAAACCAGCTGTCGCTTTTCGAAACCCCGAAGCACACTCGTGCACACCAACGGCTCTGTCGACCCGAGATTCCATTTATGTGGCAGTATCATCCTACTCTGCTTTATCTACCGTATGTCTCAGTGCCCTTCATCCATAAGCAATACGGCCACAGCTTTGGTTTCTCTCTTAGTCAATCTCATTTGTTTTGGGACTTCTACCTTTTGTCACTACGTGCTGTATTCGAGAAAGCAGCTCCCTTATTCCTACTTCCTGCTGGATCACCTTGGAAATATTCTTCACATACGGGGGACATCTGTATCAGTCTTGCTTTTAGAGGCTACTGATAGCGGGAACAACAATTCCATTTTCCTGGGAGTCACACTGGGCGGGGTGGTCTGTGCCACATATTTGATAACCTGGCCAAGAGAAGAGAGAACGAGTGCTGGTGATTGGAGGGTTTGGAGATTTGGCTTTATGCAGCGTCTCGCTCTACAACGCTGTCCTTTCTGGTATATCTCGACTGACAGCCTCTTATATCTTTATGGCTTTAGTTAACGGCATCCGAGGGTGGTTCTACTCTCATGGGTCTATTCAAGTCCTGACTCAACGTTCACCCAAGCCCTATACTGTGTCGGGGTATAGCACCACCTCTACCTCTTCTTCGGCGTATAAAATCATCCATTTAACGTCTAGCGGCTGTACGGATAGTGAGACTGCCTAGCGATGGCTCTACTCGTTTCATAAAGCTAACAAAAACCGCGTACGACGCGGGCGACCGAGGCTTTTGCTAATAGACAATCATACGTCTTAAATAACTATTGTAGTGGTGGAGCCCGTCACTGTAGCTTATTATTGGCCTAAGGTGTCGCAAATGCCCTAGAAAGCTTGCATGCAGTCTTCTCCTTCTAGGGATAGCATCCATCCATCAATATGACTACAGTTTTTCCACCAGATTCTTCATTCATGATATAGCTTCAAGATCAGTACTTCAGTCGGTTCCTGAGACTACTCTTCACGCCTACGGTGGGCATGGGAGTGGTTGGTTGTCTTCTCTCCATTGATATCGACCCGTCTGGTATATCAGACTGCCATCGTGCCATCCCCATTTCACTATCGAATTTCTCGATATTTGTAAGGAAAACTTCATTATTCCTTAGCATTTTAAAACACATATCTTAGCGCGAATCTTATTTTTGAAATTGCTCCACAACCAGGCCTCCTACGGCCCTCAAAATAAATGCAAGTTATTCGTAACTTCCTGCTGCATCATTTGATACCAATTTTATATTGGTTGATACAATGGTTGCTCCAGGAAGCCAGTGGCCCGCCCTTTCAGGGGGGTTGCGCGAAAACTCTGCCAACCAAAACACCACCGACCGCGTTATAGCAGCAAACCACGACGTCCAGCGGCTCTTAGAACATGTCGATAAGGGCGGCAAGGTCCCCCCAGTGGTATTGGAGTACTTGAAGGTCATTCGTGAGCTCACTGTCGACCTCCTGAAGAACCCCCTGGGTGTCGAATGGCGACGGGAGCTCGCGGAAATGAAACGAGAGACTATTATGGAGATCCGTAAGGAGATGCATGGTGTCCGAATTGCGACTGCGGCGAGTAAGACTAGCACTGAATCAGGACCCCGACGCGTACTCTCGTATGTCGAGGCCGTTAGGCGAGGCACAACGGCACCCGCCCACTTCCTCTCCGCTCACGGTTCTGACAGCACCCAGGCGGCTAGCCCCTCCGAGCTCTGGAAAGACCGTGAAATCATTGTCAAATTGGGTGATGCCGATGGCAATGCTCATTTCCGATCGATGAAGAGCTCGGAGATCAAGGACAGAGCTGAGAAGGCGAGGACTCGGGCTGCGACCGTGAGCCCTGTTTTGGCCGCCATCCAGTTCGTGGCAGCTCGTCAGTTAAAGTCTGGAGATATCAGCCTAACGCTAAGATCGGCCAAGGACGCTGAGGCTGCTCGAATTCATCGGGGCAAGTGGGTGCAGCATCTGTAAAAGAATGCTGAAGTCCGGCTACCGTCCTGGGGTGTCGTGATCCACGACGTGAATGTGAGGTCTTTGGGTATTAACCGGCCGGCGGAATTGAAAGAGAGGCAGGAAGCAGTCAGCAAGCAGTTATTGACCCAGAACCTTCATTCGTGGGGGGATGCGGAAATAACTCACCTTGCCTGGCTCGTGCTGCCTGAGGGTAAGAAGTCGGGGTCTATGATCGTTGAGTTCAGCTCGCCGTACGTCGCTAATAAGGCTATTGATTGCAATACCATTTGGGACTCCGCCGTCCTTACCACGGTTCTATACGACCGGGCTGCTAGGATCCGTCAATGTCACCGTTGCCAGAAATATGGACACATAGGAAGGACCTGCTCCGAGCAACCACAATGCGTCTACTGCGCCGGCGACCACCTCTCTCCTGATTGCCGGGGTAAACAAGACGCCACCCTTATTGAACGAAAGTGCGCCAATTGCGGAGGCGCACACGCTGCCTGGTCCAAGAGGTGTAAGGACTTTGAAGCGGAGTTAGATAGGGTGAAGGAATTGGAAATGAGGCGTGAGCGCTATCATCGGATTCCAGCCTACCTATCTATCTCGGACCCTGCTCCGAGGATGGCAGGGTCTAGCTCAGGCTCTGGCGTTAGTCGAGAGCCAGTGAGCTCGGATCCAACACCGAGGGAAGCATCCTCCATGGGTAGCGGCCGTGGAACTGCGAAAACCGTAACATCTCGAAGCAATCCTACTTCGAGCCAACGAACCAGCTCTGCCAAGAGCAAGCCGGCTGCTAAGAAGACAGCTAGCTTACCAATAAGCAAACCGGCCAGCGTGGCTACCGGGGGCAATGCCACAAGCATCGTAACCAGAAGCACCGCTGGCCAACCATCCGAGGCCTCTATCACGAGGACCCCGGATAACCAGCAGACTAGGGAAGCCGAATGCTTCCCAATGGATATCGATGTCAACATTGAGTTCGACCCAGCTAAGCAGGCTGGTCTGTACCGGTCAAAGCATGCTCCTAGCACCCGAGCACCTCGATCGGAGCCGGTGAGAACGAGAAGCAAGGCCGCGGCTTCGTCCCAGGCATCATCGACGCTGTCGACATCAGCAATCATCGGGAAAAGAAGAAAGACCAAGGCAACGGAGGGGGACTCGGAGGTATCGTGGAACCCGCCGCCATCATCGTCGTCAGCCCTTGTCGAAAGAGACAGCAACGGATCGGTGGCGAGGAAAGCCAACAAACCGACTGCTCCCGGAAAGGAGAACCGAACGAAGAGAAAGCATATAGAATCCGATGCCGACGCTTCCGCCGTAAGAGGCAGCAGAGGAAGACCGATAGCGAGACATACTAGATCAGCCACAACGGGCAACCGGAAGATCTTCGACACCAACCACGACACCCGCGACAGAGAGGACTTCGGGGTCGACATCAGCTTCTCAGACCAAAGCAGCCTTAGCAATATCACCGGCAGCAACGCCGATGCCGAACCAACCAACCGCAATACTTCCAATGAATAAAACAACCCTCGAAATTCTCCAATACAACGTCCACCGCTCGAAGGATGTCGTCATGGCAGACTTCCTCCGGAACCCCAGGGTTCTCGAGGCTGATATCATCGCGATCCAGGAGCCGTGGGAGAACCCATACACCGAAACAACGCACCATCCAGCGAAAGCAACGCACGAGCTCGTCTATCCGACTACCAACGAGACTGACGGCGAGAGAACCCGTGTCTGCATGCTAGTTTCGAAGAAAATTGGCCAGTGGACGCACCACGCGCATGGGAGAGATGCTCAAGAAGTGAGATTTAGGGTAGGCGAGAAAGGTGAGCAGAGAGAGCTCAGGGTCTTCAATATATATAACCCAGTTGGGTCTATTGAGACGATCCTGAAGCTCGAGGATATGCTCGACAAGAAGGGCTGTATTGTTCTTGGAGACTTCAACCTCCATCACCCAGCGTGGGGTGGAGATAACGCTATCCAGGACGCAAATGCGGATGCTCTCATTGAACTAACCGACTCGGCCGATCTGGACCTCTGGTTGGCCCCCGGCACTATTACCCGCGACGAAGCAGGCCATCAGACTTCCATAGACCTCGTCTTTGGGTCTCATGACCTATCTGAACGTTTCCTTACATCGGAGATCGCCCACGAGTGTCATTCACATTCTGACCACCTCCCAATACGAACGATACTCGACATTCAGACCACTACCCCCGCTAGCACACCTAAACGGCGCAACTGGAAGGCCATGGAAACAGAGAAGTTCGACAAATTCGTTGCTGCGAATCTCCGCATGCCGTTGCTAACGCAACTCGGTACTCCACAACAAATCGATACGGCGGTGGATCACTTCATGGATGTGATCAACCGGGCCGTGGATGAATCTACCCCATGGGCCAGACCTAGCCAATACGCCAATCCGTCGTTTACAGGTGAATGTCGAGAAGCAGTGAAAGAGACCCGACGTCTATTTCGACGTTATATCGCCACACATAACGAGGAAGACTGGGAGGTCTACAAATTGGCAAGAAATCAGAAGGGACGGATCATAAAAAGAGCACTAAGGTCGGGATTCCGTGAATTTGTCAAGGAAGCCATCAGCCAGGGCCCCCAGGGTCTCTGGCGGATGTCTAAATGGGCAAGGAATCGAGGCCAGGACCAAAGCAACAGCGTTATGCCTCCGTTAAAGACGGTGGATGGCATTGCCGAAACAACCGACGAGAAAGTCCAGGCGTTACGTGAGGTCTTCTTCCCAGCACCCCCGGAAGCAGACCTCTCGGACATTGAAGACACTCGAAACCAACCTAAGAAGCCTCGGATCAGCTTCCCACCTATCACGGAACAAGAACTGGCTGATTCGATACGCCGTGCACCTCCAAACAAAGCTCCAGGAGCTGACGGCATTCCTAATAAAGTGTGGAGACTGCTAGCAGGCGAATCAGCCTCACAGCGAGTCTTCCTCTCCACGATTCTCGACATCTTTAATGCTTGCCTGCGCGTTGGCCACAACCCACAGCACTTTCAGACCTCGATCACAGTGACGCTGCGTAAGGCTGGAGCTAGAGACTACCGCCTGCCGAAGGCGTATCGGCCCGTGGCGCTTCTTAATACGCTTGGCAAGATCCTCGAGGCTATCATAGCAACGAGAATTGCCTGGGCCGTTGAAAAGCATCAGCTACTTCCTGATACTCACCTCGGCGGGAGAAAAGGCGTCTCTGTGGACCATGCTATCCAGCTGATCTTAGATAGGGTCCACACGGCTTGGGGAAGGGGCCGAAAGGCAAGCATGCTCTTACTAGACGTTGCTGGCGCGTACGACAACGTCTCACATAAAAGACTTCTCCATAACATGCGTCAAATGAGGCTCGGAGAGCTAGCACCATGGGTGCAAGCTTTCCTAACCGGCCGGAGTACGCGTATTCGACTTCCCGGCCACCTTAGCAACGCATTTCCCACACCGACAGGGATCCCACAAGGATCTCCGATATCGCCAATTCTCTTCTTACTATTCAATGCCCCACTAGTCAAAGGCTGCTCATTTCCGACTGGCTACGGCCACACTGAGGCCTTTGGTTGGGTGGATGATGTCTGCATTCTAGCTGTTTCAAACAGCTACGAAGAGAACGTATGGCTCATTGAAACCGCTCTCGAGAGAGCTGGCCAATGGGCCAAACGTCATGCAGCAAGGTTTGCACCTGACAAGTTCGAACTAATCCACTACAGTAACCCACGTATCGAGCCTTCCGCGATCCCTCCGAGTCCTCCGTCCGAATACGATGTCTGGGCTATGCCTGATGACCCCTGTGGTCACGATCAGATGCCGGTGGCAATGCCAGGAAGCGAACCAGTCACAATCCAGCCCTCAGAACAAGCTAAATACCTCGGCATTTGGCTCGACAAACAACTCAGTTTTAACGTACACCGCAAGAAACTGATGGCTAAGGCCGCCGGCAGCCTAGAAGCCCTTCGCGGCATTTCAGGGTCTACGTGGGGGGCATCACTGATGTCTATGCGTAAGCTATATCAGGCTGTCATTGTGCCGCAAGCTCTCTGGGGTATCTCTGCCTGGTACTGCCCTGCCGCGCGCCAGATGCCAGCCTGGGAAATGGCCCGACTGGTCAATGAGCTTATAAAGCTTCAAAAGCGCGCGGCGATTCTGATCAGTGGAGCTTTCAAGAGTATCTCCACTGCCGCGCTCGACATCGAACTCTTCCTACTACCCATGAAGTTACGCCTACAACAAAGCATCGAAGAATGCGCCATTCGCATTCTTACTGGACCTCAGTGGGCCTGTCCCCGTTCGGCAAAAATAGCCAGGAAGCCGGCTGAACGCCGAGAAGGTGGATGGACACCTCTGGAAGCACTGGTTTGGAAGAAGGGACCGCTCAAATTGAGCATGAAGAACAAGGACTGTGCGGAGAAATGGGAAGAAAAGGTTGCATTTGTACTGCCACCCTGGGAGAGACGAATCTCATGCTTCATTGAACCCTCGGAGGCTGCATTGGTAACCTATGGCTCCATTATCCAACAGAAGAGGACACAGGAAGACACGGCTTCCTTGATATATACCGACGGCAGTGGCTTCGAAGGCCACATTGGTGCAGCCGCCGTCAACATCCATGACGGTGACACCGTCATCTCCGACCGCAGGCATCTCGGCACGGAGAGCCAGTCCACGGTGTACGCTGCCGAGCTCAGCGGCATCGAAATGGCATTGGACAGGGCCATACGCGACAACAAGGAGACAACCACAAAGGCTCGAGAAGTGATACTTTTCTCCGACAGCCAGGCTGCTATTCAAGCAGTCCAGAACCCACAGCGACCATCGGGTCAGTACGTGCTTAAGCTGCTATACTCCCACGTACGGACCCTTCGGTCACTACCACGACCGATATCTATTACCCTCCGTTGGATCCCCGCTCACGTCGGGGTGCCTGGCAATGAAGCTGCCGACGGCAATGCGAAATGCGCGGCCCTCGAAAGTGCGGGAGGTGCGACTGGCGGAGCGGATCAACCGATCATCCGGCTTGCCGCCGCGGCAAAACGGATGGTCCGAGAGAGGACCCAGGACCGTTGGAAGAAGCAGTGGGAGAACGAGAGGACCGCTCAGCCCACGAAGCGATTAGTGGAATGGCCGAATAAGAAGGTATTGCGTCTATACGAATGCCTATCGAAACCACGGTCTTCGATCATGATACAAATGCGGTCAATGCGTATTGCGCTGCGACACTTTTTGTACAAGATCAATGAAGTGGAGACTGATAAGTGCCCCTGTGGAGAGGGCTCTCAAACGCCGAGGCATGTCTTGCTTCAATGCCAGACGTACGGCGAGCTAAGAAAGCGTCTATTTGACCAGTTGCATCGAGCAATTGGACCATTCGATATGTCGAATTATGACAGCATTGTTTCTAACCCGCTGGCAACCCGCTACGTTGCCAAATTCATGCACCAAACCGGTCTTCTTGCCCAGTTTCAACATGCTGATCAGGAAGAATCCGATGATGAAGCTGAAGACCTCAACCTCGAGGTCATGGAGCAGAGTCCCGAAGACGCTGGGCACTACCTAATGCTTGCCAACACCGTCGAGGGTGGAGAGAACCTCGATGAGCTATTCGAATATACGCTGCCTGACTGGGCAGTGAACAACGATAATCAGCAATCGAGGCTGAAGTGAGGATGTCGGAGAACGGGGTTTGATCTTGCTACAGCAGGAATTGGCTGGGAGCTTGATGCGGAGGAGTTTACATAGGATATGAGGAGAGAGGGGACTTGGAGAGGTGGACGGTGCATCCACGCATTCATTTTGCATTCATTGCTTATTAGCGTTGAATTTCTCATTTGTACAGGGGTTATGGGGTTTGGCTTATTTGACTTACATGTAGGGCTGGTACTCATCTCTCGCTTCGAGGACCAGTTCAAGTTCTGTACTGGAGCATGATCAGGCGTACGGACACGAGTTCTTGCTTCAACCGGACAGAAGCGCCTGCATAGCCATTACGATACTAGTTAGGCTCCAACAGGTTAATAGAACTTTGATTGATTGATTGATTGATTGATCCTTAGCATTTTATACCTCACACGACTTATATATGTCAGCCCCTTAATGCTAAGGCTTTTTTAAACCTAAAACATGAGTTTTTAAAATGACGAATACTAAGGTTATGGCGTGGGGTGGAAGCAACGAAAAACGCGATTTCTTCCGCAATATTGATGCCGTCCGACAGCGCGCCCCAAGGTCCAAAACTATCCAAACCTCGTTCAAATCTACTAGTATCTGACCACTAGATCTGACAGAAGTTTCAGATAATTTAGGGCAGTATTCGGATAAAGAGGTGCTACGTATGTACAACGAGCCGTCACCCGCCCGCGAATTCCTAAGTTCAGCAACCAATTCTCCGCCCAATTCTTATGCGCGCATTGAGAAATTAGAGAATAGGTTCTCCCACTATTCAGTAGCCCGACTTCTGGTTTATGAAAAATTTGGAAGTATATCTGGCGTGCAATTGATGCCGGAAAATCGTCTCTATATAATGCGGAACTTGCGGAGATGAGCCTTACGCGCGCCCTTAGCCGCAAAACGCCTGGAAGAAAGCCAAAAAGCAAGCGATGGGTAACTAGAGCTACAAAAAGCCCCCTTTCATCAATTTCAGGTAATAGGCTAGTACAGCATAGGTGTGAGAGAGAAGATGACTCGAAGCTTCGTGCTTGGCGGAAAGACGCAGTGAAAATGGCGGCCGATTTAGCGGTTAGGAATTGGAGGAAACACTTGAAAATGAGGAGGATGATACATCATTGGCTAATGAGGCTACTGATGGGCTTTATTAGACTGCCGAGATTCGGGAGGAGTAGATGTGATGCTACGATATGATGTGCAAGATGACACCGGCACGGTGCATTGCTTTGTTCTTTTAAAAATATTTCTATGTGCATACTTATGTAGATAGTCTATATATAAACATCAATCATGCAAAATCTATATCTATATCCATCCGCCCTGGGCAGCTTTCTCCTCATGTTGAGGACGCTCAGGCTTCTTCCCAGCCTGCACCTTAGTCAAAGTCAACTTCCTTCCCAATCCACGCCCAACCTCTCTAGCCTGCGTATCAAGTGGGATGACATCATCATCCATCGAAGACCGCCGGCTGTCTTGCTCAAGACTGAGAAGAACCTCTACAGCCTGCCGATCTTCAATGACCTTCGGGTGGCGCTGGGCGAAGTACCGAGCGTACTTGTAGAGAGACCAGTAGCAGCTGAAGACGTTGATGACCGTCAAGGCAATCTTGTAGAATGTGTAGTAAAAGAAGAGGACCTTCCAGTCGACGCGCTCCTTTTTCAGGCGGAGGTGGATCTCGTTGAAGATTACCACGTTGATCAGGTACATGGCGATTGTTACACCTAATAGCATACCACAGAATCCGGGGCGCACGATGAAGGAGATTGGGAAGACGAAGGGGGCGAGGAGGTAGATAAGCGTTTCGTATACCTGTGCAACGTTAGTCGCTGATAATCTTATTAATTGGAGAAATTACATACCTCTTGGAATACGCAAAGCTTCGCACCAAGTTCCCACCAACTGAGCTTCCAGCTGGTGAAAATATACTTGAGATCGTAATAGATACCAATCACGAAGAAGAAATTCCACCGCTTGAATCTCTGCGAAAAGATGGTCATCTCGCCGAATCCGCCACGGCTGCCACTGCCACTGATGAACACTGAAGAGGGAGTTTCAGTTTCCACAAAGACCTGGGAGCACATAGTAATGCGTCCTCCAAGACGGCGACACGCATCGCCAAAGAACCAATCTTCCGAAACCGAGAAGCCGGGGTGTTCGTGGAAAGTCGCCTTCAGGAACTCCAGGTTCCAAAGCGAGATAGCACCATGAGGGAATGTTGCACTGCCGCACTTCCCAAAGAAGTCTCGTTGAAGACCGGACATTTTATATTCGAGGTCTTGTGCTTGCTGACAGTATGTTCCCCTGGAGGAGTTTGGACCGACACTCTTGATCGTATAGCCAATACATCGAACACAGCCTTTGAGCCTATCGCTGACGATAGGGAAAACAGGAGGCAAAAGGCAATCATCGTCAATGAGAACAGCATTTTCAAAGTCCTTAGCCGCGTAGCAGCCGACAAACTGGGCGACGATCTTTGATCCAATTGGTACCCAGAGATGGTTCACGCCGTATGGTTTGCAGACTTCTTCTGTGTTGTCGAGGGGTGTTTGAGAGTTTCCATTTGCAATCACGAAGATATTCTCTTTCGGGAAAATTTTCAATGCCGCGTCCAAGGTAGGGCCGATGATACTAGCTGATTTGTAACAGGGAATAAGTAGGGCTGTTGATTTGACATTATCGGAGTTTTGTTCGAGGTCTTGTTCTTCGACAGAAGGATTTGGGTCTTTTTCGAATAGAATGAGAAGTGGACAGAAGGCATATCTGGGATTGGTTAGGGCAAGAAACACGACAATTTAGGCAGATACTCACAGTGCAGCCAATCCAATCACGATGGCATATCCTCCTTGGATAACGAATTTGTTTTGGACAACCCAATATAGCCACCATACTGCACCCTTCCATAGAGGCATACCAACAAGGACAAAATAAACGAAGAGAACGAGCAGTACATAGATACTCCATTCGAATAAAAGCCGTACCCAATGTCTCCGTTGGATAGCAACACCTCTCAACTTGGCCTTTTCGCAGATCTCTTGTAGACTGTTATAACCACTGGAAATAGACTGAGGGCTGGCCTTGCTGAGTGGCTGGGGGCTGAGCACTGCATTTTGAGGTGGTGATATTGCTTCCGTTTCGAGAATTGGAGCTGCGGGTTCGAAGGTGGGTTTCTCAAAATAATCAAATAGCAAGTTGATCGTCATCCGTTGCAAGGACGCAGCGGAATTTGCGGAGAAGACAAACAATTGTGGACTGCCTCCAAGTTGGCTTGCTGACTTGATACTGCAAACACCTGAAACGCGGGCTGAGCCAAGCATAACATGCGCATTAGCGCCCCCAATGCCGAATGAGTTGATGCTGACTCGCTCATATTGAGCCTCAGGCCACGGTGTAGGTTCAAGGGGAACGGTCAGCTTGCGTTCCCGGAAAGGGATTTTAGGATTCGGGCTCGAGAATTTAATATTGGGTACGATAGTGCGGTTTTCAAGCATAAGAACTGCCTTGATCAGAGATGTGAGGCCTGAAGCACCTTCCGAATGACCTAGGTTAGGCTTGACCGATCCGATAAATGCCCCGGAGTCGCCAAAAACTCGAGCGACTGCGTTGACCTCTACAGGGCCCCCAGTAGCGGTACCGGTTCCGTGGCACTCCACGAATACAGTCTTTGAGTAGTCTGTTATGCCAGCCAGCTGGTAGGCTTGCCGGATCATAGTCTCCTGGCTGTCGGTACTTGGGTGCAAAATGCCGGGCGTCTTCCCGTCGCTGTTTGACATGGTGGACCTAATCACAGCACGGATAGGATTCCCGTCTCGAATAACAGCGTCCAATGGCTTGATATACACGGCTGTGATGGCTTCGCCTCTGCTGTACTCATCTGCGTCTGCTGAAAAGGTTTTGCAGGAGCCTTCAGGAGAAAGTAAACCTTTTTCCGTCATGAAAGCTGTCATGCCAGGTGCCATGATCAGGTTTGAGCCCCCTACAATGGCCGCCTCGCAATCGCCCCGTTGAATGGCGTGACAAGACTCATGAAGGCCGACAAGTGCGGCCGAGAAGGCAGTGCGGATGGTCATGCTGATGTTGTTAGCTCACAGAACTTGAAAGTATTCATTGTCCAAAATCATACCTGGGTCCGCGTAGGTCCATTTCGTAAGACACCCGATTGGACAGCATGAAATCGCCATAACCATCAACTCGATGAACGCCAGAGTGCTGGGGATCCTTGTTCTGCATCTCCAACCAATCCTCACCGTAGCTACCCATGTAGCAGCCGATTTGGCGGCCCCTGAAATCGACTTCACCAGCGTCGTCAAAACATTCTCTGGCTACCTCCAACATCAGTCGGTGCTGAGGGTCGGAAGACTCAAGTTCAACACGACTAAAAGAGAAGCGAGGAGCATCGAAACTTCCCAGTTTGACACTATCATCAAGGAAATAACCGTACTCCGTCTTAATTGTGCCCGGCCGGCCAGTATCAGAGTGGTACGCTGATATATTGTAGCGCGACTCTGGAACTCGGCCTCGCGCGTCACGTTTAGTTAGCAGAAAGTCCCAGAGTTGCTGGGGAGTCGCTATACCGCCAGGGAGGCGGACTGCCATACCGCAAATTGCTATGGGGATATTCATTCTAGATTTGACAGCATTTCCTCCCGCGGATATGCCATCGAACCCAGATGGCCTATTGACCTGAGACACTTGCTCAGGAAAAGCAGGGAGAACTCCTTTTGCTTCGGCGTGCATTGTTGGGCTGTTGCAGGAAAACAGGATATTGGCAAAGTTACTGTTCGTGAAATAGCAAAAGTCTTGAGCTTGTAGTGTAATAAATGAGTGATCATGAGTTAAGGGTTTTATAATAATCAAAGCCCGGATGAAGACTAATGCATTAGATGCACAATCCTTTCCAAGTTCCCACTTATCAATTTCGTTGTATAACTGTTGTGGACCAACCGACTAAGGGCTACCTCGCGTATAGAAGGCAATTGAAGCCGATGTCATCCTCCGACCCTGAAAATAGGCGGTGGTTAATTAGTATTCGTAAATTCAATACACTCATGGAGCCGTTTTGGTGCGAGGGGACTCGCACAGTTCTGGGTCAGGTTTGGACATTAATACGGCTGCGGTATTATTCGACACGCTACAGTAGTTGGAGGCGTAGATAAGTTATCGAACCGTTATTGGTACAAACGGAGAGTTGGCAGGGTATTAGCATAGACAGTTTTGATTTACTAATTCTCTAGGTGGTAAGATAAATATACTTTAAAGCGATGGAACCTCGCGATAGAAAAATTAAGTTTTTCGATATAATATACTTTTACGCCTACAGATATCCCGTAGTTTGACCTCGGCAAGGACCGGGGCCGGGCCCTCCGATCCTTGGTCTTTTTCCGAAGTTGTTAAGACCACACCACGGTCTCCCATGGTCGTATGCGGTCCGCCGCGCGGTCCCCCGGAATTTCATAATTTTAACCAAGAACTCCCTATTTAGGCTTTTAGCCCAAATGTACTATAATTATTTTCTGCATAAATCATGCATTAATGATATGATTTTCTATGTTGTCTTGTTTGCAGGACCGCAAGGGACCGGACTGGTGCGGTCCGGTCCGGTCCCTTGCGGTCCTTGCCGAGGTCTACCCGTGAGCTTAGCCCAATCAAAGCCGGATGAGAAGCTAGAGGATAATATTAACCCGCGAAAATTAGGAGCTTCTTCCTGTTTAGGCCGGTTCCGTCCCCTGCCGTAAATCTCTCGCCCCATGTTCGATCTGCCCGTGTTCTAATAGCGGGGTTGAACCAAGTACGGAGGGGCAGGAGGATATTGTACCCTCAGGAAGATTAGGGTTCCGTCATGTTCGGGCCCATTCCATCCCGTGCCGAATCTCTTGCCGCGCGTTCAACCTAAGCCTATCCTCAACCTGAATCATGGGCTGCTTAGTTTCGACACCGGCGGAGGCGGATAAGGAGGCACCGCAGCGCAATACGCGCATAGAACGGGGTATCAAGAATGGCAAGAAGACGCTCGACCGGACCATCAAGATTCTGCTACTAGGTGAGTGAATCCATGTCGGTTTGTTGTTTGAGTGTAGTACTGACAACTTGGCCAGGCGCGGGAGAATCTGGGAAATCGACCATTATCAAGCAGATGCGCATCATTCACAGTCGAGGATTTCCCGAGGAGGAGCGGTATACAACACGCGCCGTTATTTACTCGAACCTTGTCATCGCCTTCAAGGTCTTGTTGGATATTATGAATGCCGAGGGTATCAATTTCGAGAATGAGGAAAAGACCAAGGTACTTGACATTCTTGTCACAAGAAGTGTGCTTTGGCTAACGAGTTTGAAAGTCATACGCGGAGTTATTAGACAACACCCACCCAGATGTAGGATCGGACGAGGCTTTCTCAGAACTGACGATTCGGGATGCTATGAGGGCGATGTGGAAGGATACAGGTGTGCAGACAGCTGTTGCGCGAGGGCACAAGTTCGCTCTCCATGACAACCAGTACTAGTTAGTCAATTTCGGAACATGTGTCTTACATGGGCCCAAACTAACCATCACAGTTTCTATGAATCCCTGGATCGCATATTTACACCAGGTTGGCTTCCGGACAACCAGGACGTGCTCCAAGCTCGACTACGGACGACCGGTATCACGGAAACTCTTTTCGAACTTGGGCAAATAAACTTTCGAATGATGGACGTCGGAGGACAACGATCAGAGCGGAAGAAATGGATCCACTGCTTCGAGGGTGTTCAGTGTCTACTGTTCATGGTCGCCTTGTCAGGATACGACGAATGTCTGGTGGAAGACCAGAACGCTGTAAGCGCAATATCTCCCATGCTTTCTCGACCAGCGCTAATCCCCACCACAGAACCAAATGCACGAAGCCATGATGTTATTCGAATCTCTAGTCAACGGTGAATGGTTCAAGCGCAAGCAAGATCGATTTGTTCAAGGGGAAGCTTGCCATCTCTCTTATCTCGAAGCACTTCCCAGACTACGCTGGCTCCGACACCGATTATGATGCTGCTGCGCGGTACTTTGCGGACAAGTTCCGTGGCATCAACCGAATCCCAGACCGCGAAATCTATATCCATTACCCCAATGCAACAGACACCACATTGCTCAAGGCGACTATGGATTCAGTAGAGGACATGATCATTCAGAAGAATCTGCATACCTTAAAACCATAAGGCAGCGACCTTCCATTTCCAGAGCCTTCCCAGACGAGCCTCTCTGTGACGATGATTTCTTTTTCTCTTCTCTTCATTTTCCATTCCGAGCTCCTCAGCCTACCTTTTATTTTCCGGTTGCATTGCAGGGCGGGTCTTCTTTCACTCCTTTGTGACTTTTGCCACATGTACCTTTTCTTCTACATTGTTTCTTTTTTATTGCGTTGACGAAGGCGTCTTGATTGAGAGGTTATTGTCGGCTCTCTGCTCGCATCCTTAGGTCTATCACGTTGCATCTAAAAGCCCATCCGATTTTGCCAACTAATGCCTCGCTTTGTTTTAGCGACGGTGTCTTTTTCGTTTCTCATTTCACTTTTTTGTAATGCAGGATGATACCACTTGTTTGTCTCTGCAGCTGTTTTATACTTGACGACTCTGCTCTGTATCATCACAATCATTCTGGATTTCCTATTTACTACTGTCTGGAGGATATCAATATACTGCTCTATGAGGAGCACTCTTTGCTTCTTTTTGCTCTGTATATGCTTTACTGTCTGTTGATTTCCCTTGCACGCGCTCACTCTCGGATTCCTGGTATGTAGATCGTGCCTCGTGCGTCATTCATGCACTGTCTACCACCGAGACCCTAGAAATAGAATATGGCAGATGACCTTCCAAGAACAGATTCCACGCACAGTAAATCCAGTCCTCAAGTCAAATCGCGCGAAATAGATCTCCAAGGTGTTCGGATGTCGCGATTTGTCCTGTATCCGGCCAATTGGAGATGTAAATGACTCTGTATTTACATTACCCCTATTTCTCACTATTTATGGACCCTACCGGGTTGTTCATGCTTGAACGACAATCAGATCGTCTTCAGCCGATAATTCGTCGAGGCATACGATCAGTACCGCCTAGCTTGAACATATATCAAGGGTTTAAGCCTTGTCTGAAGGATCAAATACAATCATGGTTCTCACAAGCAATGAGAAGCGCGCTTTCTTCAGACAACGGTGCCGTGAGGCATTAGCAGCCTATTTTAGTATGTTATGGTCTTCTCTCCGCCTGATGAGCGAAACTAACTCGCGTCAGATGACTGACTTGGCCTTGTCTTCGCTCCTAGCCAAGTCCGGCTACAGCCATCGGCTGGGGATGGATACGCTTGGTCGGTGACGGAATCCAAGAAGAGCCTGTTGCAGTGCTACTGTGGAGCTAAAGCAAGATTCAAAACTGATGCCTCACCTGATTTTCTGATGAGGCATTTTAATTTACAGTTCCTAAAAGTTATCAAGCCGACAGAGCTTCTTTAATCGTCTCTCCGCTACCTACATACACCACTGTATCTCGCAGAAAATTACGCTAAACAGTCGACTTACAGGCCCTTAAAATCAGGGAACCTTTTTTTTTTTTTTTTTTTAAAAAAAAAGCAATTTCTCGGTTCTGAAATGTGATTCTGGATAAGCTAAATCCGGTGCAGCGGTTTAGGGGGCAAAATGTGTTTCCAAATCAGTGCAGCAGGAGTAAGCCAATACGCACTGCCGCACACATGTATTGGCTGCCATCTGGCAACTATATCCCCACTGTGCCCCATCCTTTCCTTATAACTCCAGCCCGGTATTAAGTGCATAACTCATTAACTTTTATTAGTAGGTTCAAACCAGATACCGAACAGGCTTCGAAACAGCTAGCTCGGGCACGACGACCAGAATCGCACTGCATACTTTGGAGCCCTGCACAGCTTGGTCTGGCCTGGGCTACCTGTGACTTAATCTACCTTGAGAGTGGCGAGAGGGTCTCCACTTGACGGAGATGAGACTCAACTTAACAGTTACCTGCATAAATTCAGGTTCTCGCAAAGTCAACACGCTTCTCGATGAATGATCAACGCGGGCGGTGATACTGTGCTTCTGGGACACCTTGCTAACACCAGGCTGCTTCTGGGGATTTCCCTGTCAGCCCTTCACTGCGATCAAGGGGTTATACCATTTCTTATTTGGATTATTGCAGTGGAGGATAAGGTACTCCGTTAATTAGAAATTAGGGTTGGCAGCTGTCACTAGCGGAAAGATAAGAGTCTAGCGCACCTGGCCTACAACCATAAAGTACTTTATCTTTACCGGCTTTACTCTAACCCCCAAGATGGCGACCGGGATCAGGCCTGAGAATAGTTAGTCTTTTGCTGCATACCATACTATACTGGTCTAGTATCAGCATAGTATCCTATCGAGACCAGTGGGGGGCAATAAGACCGCTAGACTAAAAATGCACCATGGGCAAAATTTCTAGTTGTTACCGTCATTTATTCCTTTGGCATATCCCCTTCGCTGTCACTTGCTTGTCAGTTTATCGTCCTTTTGCTGCCCCAAACAACACAACCGCCCCACATAAGAAAAATAACAAAAGAAAAGAGATTATTCAGGTGTGCGCACAATAATGCTGAAACTGATAGGGCTCACCCAGATTGATACATTCCGTGGGTTTTTATGCCTAGATTTAATCTTTCTTTTACATACTCAACATAATTTCGCCAGTTACCGTTGACTGCTCGTTTGATTTACAGTACTCATGGCTAC